AGGGACGGCGGCCGGAGCGAGCCCGGGAGGCGAGCGGAGCCGCCATGGCCGAGTTCCCGTCCAAAGTGAGCACCAGAACCAGCAGCCCCACGCAGGGCGCCGGCGCCTCGGTCTCGGCGCTGCGTCCCGACCCGGGCTTCGTGCGCTCCAGCCTCGGTGCGCTCATGCTGCTGCAGCTGGTGAGGGCGCGCGCAGGGCCGCGAGGGTGGGTGGGGGGTCCCGGCCAGGCCAGGAGGGATCGGAGACTCCGGGGCTGCCCTCCTTCTTCGTTCCCCGTAGACCCCCAACTCAGGCTCACACGCGCCCAGACGCGCCGTAACTACCCCGGGGCGCCTCCAGAACGGCCCCCGAGATCGCCCTGGAACCCTTTCGCCTTGAGACGTCCCAGTTGTCGTCCCTGCGAGCACACGCCCCGGGCACCCATATTCAGCGTGCCCACTCTCCAACGCCCCATCATGCCCCCCAGGGGGTCACCAGAGGCCACCCACAGAAGCCACCATCACTGCGCACGACTCTCTCTGTCTCTGTCACTCTCTCTCTTTGCCAGGACTCTGTCCCCAGCCCTCCAGGGGACCCGGCCTGGGGCAAAGTTCACTCTCGGCCAACCCTCTGCAGAGCTCCCAGCGGCTCCGCGTGGCTGCACCCCAGAACCCTCCTCGTCTCATCGAGAGGGCACGTCGTTGCAACAAACACACTTGGGCACGGCCCTGTGGGCTTCCTTCTGGCTTCCACTGGGTGACCCGCCGGGTTCCAGCCGGTTTGGTCGGCCCCGCGGGGCCGAGATACTGCACCCGGCGCTGGGGGGAGGTGGCTGTGGGAAGCCAGAGGCCAGACTGCTGTGTCTCCCAGACCCTCTGCAGACCCCAGCTGAGGCGGGCCGATGGAACACCTCTCTCCCCTCACCAGTTTCAGGCCTGGGGGTGTTAGCCTTCTTCCCATAGTACCCTCTGGGGCGAGTGAGGTGGCTGGGCGGCTGCCCCTGCCGGAGGCTTTCCCACCAGCTGAGGGCCTGGTCCATTTTCAGAGTGCTAGGGCGGAACTGGAGGTGGGCTGCGATCCATTTTCTTTAGGGCATCTCTCGCTGTCCCCCTACTGCTGGGTTCTAGCCAGGCTCGGGCTGGAAGGCAGGGTGGTCTGAGACCCAGCCTCCCACCCCGCCCTCCCCCCGGGTGAGGGCCTGCCTCCTCCTGGGTCGGCGCTACCTCTGTTTCAGCATTTCTCAAATCTCTTCCTGTGGGCCCCCCTCCCCCACCTCAGCCTCAGACTCTCTCGGAGAGGTTTGTTTAAAATGTAGATTCTTGGTCCCCACCCCCGGAAAAAATGTGGAATTGGAATTTCAATCTCAGGAAGTGCAGCCCAGAAATCTACATTTTAAACTTTTCTCCCAGAGTTGTTTTGGAGATTCTCTGGAGGGGAAGGGGGGCAGGGTAGGAGGTCGGTGCGGGGACTGATTGAAATCTGCAGGTAGGAAGAGCCCTTCTGGAGCGCTGCTGTGTGCCGGCCCCCGGCTGGAGCCTGTGAGCGGGGGGCAGCGAGCAGGAGGGGAGCCGGGGTCCCGGGGGTGTGAGAGGGCGGAGCAGAGGGAGGTGGAGTGTAAGTCCAGGAAGGCTCCTGGAGGAGAGGTGCCATGCGAGAGTGCAAGGGAAGTTGAGGCGAGTAGCCAACAGGTGGGTGAAGCTGGAGTTGAAGCACTTGTTTCTGGGGTGGCCATTCGCCAGGGGCCCGAGCACCTCTGCGAGAAACGGTGGCCTTGCCCTGTTGGCAGCCCTAGGAGGTTTTGGAACAGCGGAGATCGCCGCCGGGCGGAGGATGATGAGGCGGCGGCGCGGACCCCGGGGGTTAGCTCCCGTGGACAGGCCTGCGCACCGGCTCCTTTTGCACTTGAACGATGAGAATTAGAGGAAGAGGAAGGTCCTGCTGTGCCTGCAAGGACCTGGGTAGCTTCCTCTGGGGGAGGCTTGTGGCTCTGACGGGGGGCGGGATGTCCCTGTGGGCTCAGCACTCAGTCCTGCACATCTGGTCCCATTGCGCAAACGTAGACACTGAGGTCCAGATAGAACGTGGGACCCACCAGGAGCCCTGTGCTGGAACGCTTAGGTCTCCAGACTCGCAGGGACTGGGTGTGAGGGGGGTGGCCTTCCTTTGCCCTCCTTGCGGTGCTTTGGGGGTTAGGGGATGGGGTGGGGAATGAGGGTCTCCCCTCAGAGTTCTAAAACCTGCACCTATTAGTGCCTTCCCCAATCTGCTTGTGGGATAAGCAGGTTCCTGAGCTGTTTCTATGGCAACGGACAGTTCCACTGGGTCTGAGACAGGGAGGTTCACCCAGCGGGCTCCGCATCTGCTGGGAAGCCATAACAGCTCCCACCAGCCAGGTACCCATTAGGCTCCAGGCCCTTTGCCAAGGGCTTTATATCCTCCTATTCTTCCCCATTTTACTGGTGGGGAAATTGAGGCTCAGAGGTCAGCTCTCTGCCCAAGATCTCACAGTCCTCCTCCACAGGGGATCCAAGCCCTGAGTAGTATGACGTTTCTGGCCCGAGCTCTTAATTACCACACTCAGCTCTGCTTCCCCCCCCCCCCGCCCCCCCCGGGCACAGGGTCTGGTGCTGTTGAAGGAGTGATGGAGACCCCAGGCCCAGCGCCTGCTCTCCAGAAGCTCTTGATCTGTGAGGAAGGTCCCCAGGGGAGGTGCTTCCCATGGAGGGATCAGGGAAGGCTGCATGGAGGAGGCAGTAAATGGGAAGATGAAAGCTAATTCTCCATCACACCCCTCTGATTCCCAGGATTTGGTGAAGTGGTCCAGATGTGTGTGTGTGTGTGTGGGGGGAGCAAGTTGAAAGGCCCAGTTCCTTGAGAAGGAGATGTGTTCTGTGTCTAGTAGTAAATGTGTCCTGAAGAATCAGCCTCAGTGTTCACTAATTTATCACCGCCCCCCCGCCCCATCTAGTTCCAGAAAGAACATTAGATGGAATATGTATTAAGCCACATAAGACAGAAAAATTAAAGTAGTGTATTTTTTAAAGTTGGTGGTGTATGTAGGGGGTCGGGGGGGTTAACTTAGCTCTCTTTAGAGCTAAGAAGAGATCATTGTACCAGGAATTGGTAGAAAGTTTAAGGCGTTGATTCTTTGTTGAGCTTCCTAGCACCCTAAGCAAAAAGGGAAACAATGAATTTATGCAGACAGCTTCTAAAAAAGGAGACAGGCAAGTTTGATCTAGAGACAACTCTTTTGGTTATAAAAACCTGGAAGTTTGATGCAGCAGATCTTTGTGTGGCTAGCGCGTGGAGGAATGTTGTGGAAGGTGTGGTTCACTCGTGCTTATGGTGGATCCCAAAGCCTTTATAGAAATAAGTATAAAGTAAATGCTGTTAAGTGCCCATATATTTCTTAATTTTTTAACCTTCCTTAAGTCCTGGGGGGAAAGGTGATCTTACCTCGGTTTACTGATGAGGCAAGAGGCTCAGAGAAGGTGACGAGCTTGTCCAAGGTCACATGGGGTTGAGTGACAGAGCTGGGATTTGCACTCAGATCTGGGAATCCAAAGCCTGGCTCTAGCTATGCTTCCTGTTTTGTTTTTGGTTTTGGTTTTGTGGGGAGTGGGGGTCCCCAGGGTGCTTTGGAAGGGAATCAGAGGGACTTCAGGAAGGGAGACCCATCAGGGGCCAGGGCCACTAGGGAAGGCTTCCTGACAGACGTGTACTCTGAAGGGCTTAGTTGTATGGAAGGGGCGGTATGAAGGAGGTCTGGAACAGACCAGAACTTGTGCAAGGTCCTGGCAGTCAGAAGGCCTCCTGGAGGCCCAGGATGTAGAAGCCGCACGAATGCCCTGTGGCAGTGGGGTCATTTGGGTTTGGCACCTTCTGTCCTTCCTTCTTGTCCTGCCTCCTGGCATTGGGGGTGGACACACAATTCCCGGTCTGCAGGTGAATAAACAGATCGGAAGCCTCACCTGTTCCTAGATCATGATGCTCCGATGGGTGGTGCCGAGAGCACTAACAGGCCCAGAAGCAGAGCCTTGGGTTAAATCCCGCCTCTGCCCCTTCCTGGCTGTGTGATCTTGAGTCAGTCCCCTGATTTCCCTGAGCCGCAGTTTCCTTGTTTGTGACATGGTGATGGTGGGATTGTGAGGACTGTGGAAGATGATGCTGCAAAGGGCCTGGTGCAGAGTCTGCTGGAAGGAAGGGCAGTTAGGATTCATAGAATCCTAGGGCTGTTATGCTTCTCCCAGAGGGACGTTGATACATGCTCAACACGAGCTTGCATGCTTCCAGGGATAGGGAGCTCTGTCCCTCTCAAGGCTGCCTGCTCCATCCTTGTGCACTTGGGAATGTTGGAAAGTTCTTCCTCATGGTGATCCTGGCTCTGTCTTCAGCCCCAGCAGGCAGGTCAGCTCCTCTAGGTGGGGGGCAGGGCAGGGCCTGCAAGTCACCTCTGACCTCCAGGAAGAGGCTGCCTAGACGATTCTGAGAGGTATGAGCAGAGGTGGGTCGCACTGGGACTGCAGCGTCGGGGTCTCCCAGGGCTTTGTGGGGTCGTCTCCTTAGTGCAGCGTTCCAGGCCCGGCATGCTCACCATCTTCCTCCCACCCAGCTCTGCAGCACTAGGCAAACCAGTGTTTTGTGTTGTTGGCTCCACCCACGCTCCCTGCTTGTTGTGGCAGGGAGGGTGTTGGGTGTTTGGAATTAATTTATAATTACGTAATAAATAGATGAACACATTCTCCTTAAAAATAAAAACCTATTACAGATGAGGCTAATGTTATTCTTGGATCACCTGCCCCTCTTCCCAAGGGACCACTGTTTTGGGGGTTTCCAGTTCTTTTTCCTGCGCATTTTTAAAAACGTTGATGGTTTTACTCCGTATCCTTTCTTGGGCAAGTTGCTTTTCTCACACCCCGTGCACCTGCCATCTCCTTATGGTAGCGCCATCTCTCTCCTTTGTGACTGTCGCAGGGTATCCCACAGTGTCACTGAAGCCCCGCCTCATTTGGCCATTTTTTAATTTTTTGAAATTGTTTTAATCTTTGAAAAAATTATACATACATACAGCAAACGTTCGGACACTACATAGGGTCATTAATGAAAATGTAGTCTCTCATCCCCAATGGGTCCCCCACCGCCCTTGCCCGAGGGGACCGCCATTGCGTGTGTAGCATCCAGGTGAGTGGATGCGTATTTC